CATGAAGTCTTTGCCTACCCCTATGTCTTCAAGAGTTCCTCCTACTGTCTCTTCCAGGAGATTTAGTGTCTCTGCTTTAATGTTTAGATCTTTAACTCATTTTGACTTTACTTTAGTGCATGGTGATAGACCTGGGTCAAGTTTTAGTTTTCAGCATGTAGAGAGCCAGTTTTTCCAGCACCATTTGTTAAAGAGGCTATCTTTCTTCTAGGCATTATTTTGGCCCCTTTGTCAAAGATCAGGTGGCTGAGTGTGTTCGTAGGGGCTTCAGCATCTAATACTGTAATTTAAATTTATACCATCAATAGTATACAAAAATTTTGCTTCTTTACAACTTTGTTTCCACCACTTTTTAATTAGTGATGTCACAAAATTGTTCAATTTTATATTGTTTCTCATCATGTATATGAATATCTAAACATTATTTCACATACATTAGCTTCTTCAACCATGTATAAAATACACTAGGGCTTAGCAAACCAAATTTATAATACTACCTTTGAAACCAATCATTGGTTTTTAATATAGTCATCTCTTAAATTACCTAGAGAAAGAAAAAATTGAGTTATAAACTGGACAATACTACCAACTTTTTAATAGTACTTGTGTTTATTTAGGTTTCTATTCCTTCATATAGCATCTTGTGTCCCTGCATTCATAATGAAGGACTCTGGTGGCATTGTAGCACTTTGGATGAACATATAGATCCATGTGCTTTTAAGCTCCAAAGCTTTCATAAGCAATCTGATAATCTTAAAATCCCTTGTATATAATAAGTCACTTCTTTTTCTATAACTTTTAAGATTTTCTCATGAACATCTTGATTTTCAAACATTTCATTAATTCAGCATGTGTCTCTGAGTTCATACAATTTGAGGTTCATCAAGTTTCTTGGATGTTTCTATTAGTGTCTTTCATTAGACATGAGTGGAAAGTTTTTAAGCAGTAGTTTTAAAATATTCTCTTAGGGGCCAGATAGCTTAGTGGACTAAAGTGCCTGCTTAGGCAAAGCGCAGCAGCTGGGGTTCTATCCCCAGCTTGCCATGCCGGCCCCACCTCTGGGATGTGCTGAGACAGCAATTGAGACTGGGCGTGGTTGTGAGCGCCAGTAATCCCAGCACTTGGGAGGTTGAACACAGGCAGATCACTATGAGTCCAATTTATGCAGTGAGATCTTGTAGACCTTGATA